TTGTTCCCTCCTAGGTTTGGAGAGGGTGGGATCTTCAGGACCAGCACTCGGTGGTGTCTTCCGTAGAGGGACGGGTTAGAAAACGTGGCTCAGAAGAAACGAAGGTTTGGGGCCAAACAAAGGGAAGGGTCAGGTTTCAGGGGCAGTCGGGGGGTCGTCTTCCTTGACCCCGCCCTTCTTCCACCCTGCCGTCCACACCCACCCGCCAGTGTCCAGGCTCTCCCTACTCCCCGGCGTCCTGCCAGGGGTTTCCCAAACGGTCGAAAAGGGCTGGGCTTGCTTTGCCAGCCCGGGAATCCCTGGAGTCTCCGTGCGGAAGGGGGACGAGGAAGGGGGAGGCTCCGGGGATCGCTTGAATTGGCCCCCTCAACACGGGCTTCCGTTGTCACGTGATTGCGTCCCAGGCCTCGCCCGTCTGGGGTTGGCGTGCTCCCATCTCGCCTCCTCCCGACTCGTGGACTGCGCGCTTGGGGTGCACGGGCGGCAGGCCGGGTGGCCCATTCCCTCCCCTCTCCCCGACTGTGCTAACGCAGACCCCGCCAGAGCCTGGCGTTTCAAGCCAGGGGGCACCTGGATGGGGGAAGGCGAGGTCTGGGCGCTCCACGGCCGGTGAGTGGGCAGGGTTGCGGGCCTCCCTCCCTCCCTCCCTCCCTGTCATCACCCCTCCCCCTCCCCCGGCCAGGGCGCGCGTCCGGGTCCCAGGGCGCACTCGCAGGGCTGCAGCCGCCGAGAGGCTGCGACCGCCGGGAGGTTGCGACGGCGGGGAGGCTGCGCGCCGAGCGCAAGCCGCGAGCACAAACAGGGCGAGGAGGCTGGTGTGAGCGCCTGGGCCCGCTGCCAGCGCGCCGGGGCTGGAACACAATGTCCCGGGCGGGCGGGCGCGAGCGAGAACAGCCTGACTCAGCAGCTGGGGAAGTGGGTGTGCTCGCTCACCAGATCAACCGCTCTCGCAGCCTGCGGTCAGCGACGGCCCGACACTCGGCGGCGCCCTCCGACGGGAGGGGCGGGCCCCAGCCCGCCGCGCGGGGCCT